AGGGTTCTGCACACGTTTGAAAGCTCATTCCTAGCACCTCTGTCCGTGAGGTTGGGAGTCTGGGCATGACGTCTTTGGAGCAAACCCCTCTGTCCATCCGTGCTTGGTGCTTTGGTAACAGAGCAAGGAGCGGTGTGTTCAAGCAGCCACCAAACGCAGCAGATAGGAGAGGAGCCGGGGCCTTGCTGGAGGGCAGACGTCCGCAAGCCGGGGTGGCGTGCTGGGGAGAGCAGGGGAGTCCCCTCTGTTTTGGGCTCCTCTGCCGCCTGCCCTCTCCCTGTGCATGGCCTTTCTTGTCTGTATTGGGAGCTTATCTCCCTGCCTGGGACTGGGGCTAGCTGAATTGAGCATTGTAAGCTCTGGAGGATGCTCAGGCAGAAGGTAGGAAGGACAAGCAAAGCCCCACTGGGCTGGAGTCCCTGTTTTACCAGAGATCTTGGGCCTGGAACGGGAAAGCGTGAGGAGACCTGATGGTCTGTGTTGAGAATCTACCTTTGCTTGGTCCCAGTCCCTGCAGTGCATCTGTGTCCGACTAAACCTTGCTTCTCCGAGCAATGTGACTCATGCTCAGCCTGACCTGCCATCAGGGGAAAGACCTTGAGGAGCTGCTCCTTCAAAGCTCGTCCCCTGATCTGCCTTTCTCACTTTGCCCTCTCAGGAACAGAAGTTTTGCCAGCGCTATGACCAGCTGATGGAAGCCTGGGAAAAGAAAGTGGAGCGTATTGAAAATAACCCCCGGCGCCGTGCCAAAGAGAGCAAAGTGCGGGAATACTATGAGAAGCAATTCCCAGAGATTCGGAAGCAGCGGGAACTGCAAGAGCGCATGCAGAGGTTAGAGGAGAAGCGGTAGGAAGGGGCTGAGCTGGTATTGGACAGCCTTTCTCTTTTCTTCTTTAATGTTGTGGGATTTGATTGTGGGAAGAATTGCTTGGGGTGGCTGTCGCTAGGCAGGACCCTTCTCTCCCCTTCTCTTGGAATAATTACATGGTGCGCCAACTGCAGGAGCCAGCAAACAACTTGCTGCTTTTTCCCCAGGGTGGCTCATCATAGCTCCAACAGAGGAGGAAAAATGTCGGGAATGTGGCTGCCCATCTTCCCTCTGCTCTTAATTTCCTGGCGGGCCACATCAGAGCGCATGGGCAGGTCCCTCGTTTTGGCCACCTGACCAGGATGGCACTAATTAGCCATTTACCGGTAGGCCCAAATAAAGATGTACGAGACTTGCAGATGGATTCGGTCGTGCTGATGATGTAGAATACGCTCACGTTTTGATCAGAGCACGGGCAAAGGGGAAGAACGTCTGCAAAGGTTACAGGAGTGACTACAGAAGATATGAAAGGAGTAGAGGGTCCCACAGAGAGGGATGTCCCCTGTCTCTCGCAGCCCGCTTTCCCCTCTTTAGCTCACCCTCCTTACTGAGCGGTTGAGGTCACACTGTTTCCTGCCAAGAGGAGAAGCAATTTTGTAATCTCCACCCTGCTCACTGAAAAATCCCCATCCTTCCCATTTAAGCCATAAAGATTTTGCCTGCAGACACCGGATGTGCACAGAACCAAAACCCTTGTGTCCCTCATCCATTCGTTGTGCCCTTCAAACAGCTGGAGGTGTCTGAAAAGTCCCTCATTTGCTGCTTTATTTGCTCTGTCTTAAAGGGAAGGGGAGAGATGGTACTGACAGATGTTTTAAACTTTTACCTGTTCAATGTGAAAAGTTTAAATTCCTTGGGAAATATGGTTGTTATGTTGGATGACATTGCGGGGGGATAGAGGTTGATGGATGACTTTGATTTAAATGCTCCTGCGGCGTTTGCAAACTAGATGCAACGGCACAGTGCTAATTGCTCAGTGCTAAAGCTGACATACTTATTCCATTGCCGCGGTGTGATGAGGGGAGCATGGGAAAACATGACGGAGAGCACGACTGGGTATGAAATGTCCTGCCGTTGTAGTAATCCAAGATGTGATTGTTGGCACAGGTAAGGAAGCTAGATTAGGTCCCTCTGACTGTGAGCCCTAAACGTGCAGATTTTTACGTGGGGGGTGGTGGTTTCCAGGCAGGAATGAGTCCTGTCAGAGCCCGCGGTGCTGCAGCCGGTCGTGGGTGCCGTACCCAGAGATATGGGAAATGGGACAGGGCAGTGTGGAATGAGCGTTGGGATATAAAAGTTCTGCAAGCAGCAACGAGGGGAGCGGGAGCAGGGGTTGTTTGCGGCGCAGAGCCTCGTACCAACCGGAGCATCAGTGTCTGAGTGTTTCCCTGCCCTTTCCCAGCAGGGTAGGACAGAGAGGCAGCGGTCTCTCCATGTCGGCTGCGCGCAGCGAACACGAGGTGTCAGAAATTATCGACGGGCTCTCAGAACAAGAGGTGAGACTGGGTTGTCCTTTCTCCTCCTCTTCACCCCTCGCTCCTCTCATCACCAAGGAAGCCAGCAGAGCACCAGCAGGCCCCGTGGTGAAACCTCCCTATGCCAAATCCCACAAACTTCAGGCCATGTTGTAATTGGGGAGGTTACCGCATGTGTCTAATAGCTTTCCTGGACAGGATCCAAAGCGAGGTGTTCGTTTAATACCCAGCAGCATCTTTCCGGCCACCGGAGAGATGCAAAAGAGCTGTGTGATGGTTCTGCAGCGGTGAAACACAGAGCAGAGCGCCCCAGGCGTTGGTGGCCAGCGGGTAGGATTTAATGGCATTTGCCTGCCTGTTGGGGACGTGAAACCCCAGCTTGCTGCTGATCCTGGGTAGCACCCCACAAACGGGTTATTGCTGTTAGCTTGAACTGCAAGTGGAGGTGGGAAGCAGAGGCAGCAGGCGCCCTGGCTGACGGGCGAAGGGGTTTTTCTGTTTCGTTTTGTTTTGAATGGGCCGTGCAGCTTGACGCAGGGGAATCCTATGGAATGAATGGTTTGTCCGTGAGCCAGTTGGCCCATGTCTTCTGGGAGTGCTCCATTCATCTTGAAACATCCCCGTGACCTTGGCTTCGTTTGGATCTGGTTTCACAAGGGTTCCACTTGCTTGGCACAGCCGGCGAGCTGCAGTGAATGGATCACGCTTGGGAGGGGAGAGCAGCCATTGCCCAGCAATAGCTGGGATGTTTGCTGCCTGTGCACAGCTCTGTGCTGCTGCCCTGGGTTAGAGGGAATTTGCTGTTGCAAAATTCAGGCAACCGCACAGGGGATGTGGATCTCAGAAGGAGAGAGAAATTTCACAGCGCTGTAGAGCCTGTGGCCGAGGGGACCGTTACATCATTGCATCTGACCTCCTGCATAGCACGGGCCATTAAATTCCACCCCAGTACTCTTCTGCAAAGCCCGGAGGCACTGCTTTGCTGTTCTCAGAGGAGACCTTAAGAGCTGCCGTTCAAATATTGCGCTCTTCTGTGGAACTGGAAAAGCAGTGAGGCTAGAGCAGGGGATCGGTGCTGGAGCTGCAGGCAAGGGCTTGCTCTCCACGCCGGCGCGTTCCTGGAGAGGAGAGAGGGCTGGCTGCCCGCCGTGCTCAGGCAGGGTGTATCTGCAGTGCTCGGCACCCAGAGGCCCTGCCAGGCGACGGGAGAGGCCCTGCACGCCGCAGCTGCGAGCAGCGCTCCTGCCAGCTGCCTGTCTCCCTGCCACGGCTCTGCTAATTAAGTCTTAGTTGTTTCATTTAGGGCAGTCTGCGTTTGTCAGAGTTGATGCTCTGCTGCGAGCTCTGCCCTGACCTCCCGTGATGAGATAACACCCCCAGGGCATCCTGCGTAAGGGGCTGCTGGAGCAGAGGCGTCCTAGTGAGGATGAGGAATGTGGCCAAATGAGTTGAAGCATCCTTGTCTGTGCAAAGGGTTGTGTTTTAGAAGGAAGAGTTTGGGGCTGGGTTTGCTCCTGGATCCCCCTCTTCCCCCATGCACTGCAGAGGAGCGTGTGCTCAGTTCCCACGGGACGGCAGAGCGGTGCTGGGCAGCCGAGGCTGGGGCCTGGGCTAGCAGCTTGCTTGAGGGAGTAGACCTTTAGCGTTCTCCAAGGAACTGGCGTCTAGCTCTACATTGAAATAACAGCGTTCGAGAGCTGGACTTCCGGGATCACAGGTTGGGATTTATGTCTGACTAGTGCCACCCCAGATAACAGGGAGGGTTTGGGAGTTACGTTGCTGCTAGCAAACAGAAGAGGGGTGACCAGAGCACCCCCTCATCCCCACAGTGCGAATCTGCCTGGGGGACTGCAGGCAGCCTGGCCGTAGGGGCCGTCCCAGCGCTTGGGCAGGGAACGGCACAAGTGAAACACTGCTTTGGCTACTCTGTTGTAAATATTTAAGGAAACGCGAGTGCCTAATCTGTCCTGTCCTGGCATGCTGCCTGGGTTCTGGATGAGCTTTTGACTTAAATCAGACTCTGACTTAAATCAGAGTAAAGGCATCAGATTGTGTCTTAGGGAGTTGCCGTTACAGGAAAGGAAGGAGTCATGGCCCTGTTATGGTGATGTTTGATCTGCTCACATGGCGAGAAGGAATGGCTGGGTGGTATCCAGAGCAGCTCGTATGGCTGTCAGGAGAGAGGTGTGCGAGCTCGACTGTGAGTTGATGCTTTCGTTGACTGGCACATGGAGGAAGGTAGTTTTGTCACCACTCAGTTGATTTGGTTGTTTTATCCAGGGTTGTATGATCTCAGTGGTAGCTGAGACACTTCAGACTCAATCGAGGGAGGAAAGAGGGTGTGGATGCTGCTAGGAAATATCCTGTAACAATTTTAGGTTTCCTGTAGAGCCGAAACAGAGACAGTCTTCCTCCTGGCCACCCTTCAAGAAGGCTTTGCAGGGCTGACCCACTTACCTTGCAGCCTGGTGGTCTCACCCTCCCTCAGAGGGGACTGAACCTCTGTGTGGCCATGGGTTTCTTGGTTGGAGAGGTTCTGCACTCCTGTGCCACCACTGCTTTGACTTGTGTCTCATCATGGTCAGAAGCTGGCTTCCTTAGGTCAAACGTTTTTACGTGGTATTTTAGAAGCCCTTTATTTCAAAATGAAAGATTAATTGTTTCCTGGCTGATGGCGATAGCCTCTTTCTGCATTTAATTTACAATTACTCCAGCAATAAAGCTGTCTAGTGCTTGCTTTTAAATTCTCCTGTTCCTCCGCCTGTCCTTTCCTCTCGAACATCTGTCCCTTCCAGCCTCCCGCGGGCCCGCGGTGCTGACCAGCTGTTCTCTGCTTTCCCCAAAGAACCTGGAGAAGCAGATGCGCCAGCTCGCTGTGATCCCTCCCATGCTCTATGATGCTGACCAGCAGCGCATTAAATTCATCAACATGAACGGCCTTATGGATGACCCTATGAAGGTCTACAAGGACCGACAGGTGATGAACATGTGGAGTGAACAGGAGAAGGAGACCTTTCGGGAAAAGTGAGTGCAACCTATGAACGTCTCTTTGTTTAGGCTTTGGGAATTGTGAGCTGCAGCCTATGTAATGCCTTTGGCTGGGGTCCCAGCACACTAAGCTGGTGTGTGATGGTCACAGAAAGCAACAACCCAAGGCAGGTGCTCTGAGGGAATTGCCCAAGGGCTTGTCTTGCACCCAGGGAGTGGTGTAGCAGAGTCACTGGGACAGACAGTTCATTCAAAGAGGAAAGCAGTGCTGTGACCCAGCTGCAGCTGCTGTGCTTGCTCGGGTCCTGGGCACAGGGTGATGGACCTGAACAGAAAGCTCAGGTCCTTTTACATTGTTAACTCACAGGCCCCATGGCAGATTGTAAAATACACATTATTTCAGTAGAGTGATCCTTCTTACCCAAAGTTACTTTTTTTATACCTTGGCTGTATTGGAAGCGAAGGTCGGGTTGTAATGTTAAGAAATCAACAAGTATACCAAGGTGCAAAAAAGCCCCTCCTTTGGGACAGAAAAATCTTGGTCCTTCATGATGAATACTCAGATAGTTAGCGATCCGGGCTCAGCCCTGAATCCTGCGCCTCCCTCCACATGGGAGAAAAGTAATAGTTTTTCTGCTTCCACTTGACCTGTTGTATCAGCCAGTTTAAGGATAAAGCCAGTGAAACTCAGTGCTCTGTGCGCTGCTATTTTTTTTTAGATTTACGTGCCCTTTGGGCACCGTGTGTCTAGGGGGTTCTTGAGGCTGCCAACATCAAACCAACCCATTCAGACACCCTCACGTTGCGTTTTGCAGCCGCCTCTTGCTGTACCTTTCCCTCAGCACTCCGTCCTGCTGTCTGCAGGATTTGCCACCAGCTGCTGTTTCCATGGCTGCATTCCCACATCAGACACATGCAAACTCTGTCTGCGGTGTTTTCTCCTGTTTGCAAGCAGTGCTTGAAAACAGCTTTGCTGTAATGACTGAGATCAATTTGAGAATTTCCGATCCTTTCCCTGGGTACAACTCTGCTGTCAGTTAATTATGGGTCCTGGCTGAGGCTCAGATACAGACTTCCCCCTTGTCTCGTACTCCAGTGGGGACTCCAGTGCTGTTCTCACAGAGGACCAGAGCGTGCTTGGTGCCTGCATTCAGGCTTACGCTCTTATTTTTAACATGCCCTGAGCAGAACGGACACACAGAAGGCAGAGTATCACGCGTGTCTTTAAAAACAGAGCTGGAGTTCAGCTTTCAGCAGGATCAGCTTTGCTGGGACTCGCTGGAATGGACGTGAAAGAAGTGGGGTAAGGGTAGGTAAGGCCGGGCAGCGCTGTCCGTCACAGCAGCACCATCATAGTCTGGACTCCAGCCGATTGTGAAAAAGCACCACGGATTACAAGCAGGCTCGCAGCCAGCACCGAGAGAGGAAAACAGGGATCAAGAGGCTTACTCGGCTCGGATTCCCTCTTGGATCAGCTCTTAACTTGGCAGTGTAGACGTAGCCAGGAACGGAGGTGCCCAGAGGAAACGGGAGGGGAAGAGGCACCTTTACCTTGCGGCTCCCAAGGTAAAGCAGAGGCTAGGCTGGAGTGTTTGCATTGTTTTTAGGTGCGGTTGGGATCAGAGCTGTGATCACAAGGTTATGGTGGTGGTCATTAGGTGTGTAATTTAGATGTTCATCTGTACCACACCAAGCTAGAAACAGTCAGGGTTACCCTCCAGGTAAACCAGGGGAGCCCTCACTCGCTCTCAGAAAGACCGCTGCTGTTTCTCTGCTGTTGAAGCCTCCTGCTTGCAGCTGAGATAAGTAATTGCCAAGAGGGACCAAAAAGGAACAAAACCAACTCTTAAGCCTTTTGTGGAGGAGAACCTTTATTGCTAATTAGCCTTAAAATGTGGTGCTCCAGACTGCAAGGCTTGCACACAAATGACGCAAAGGCTAATTACTTCGTCTTTAATGGAGGGGCCATGCCTGGCTAATGGGGCTGGAAGAATCCACGCCCAGCTCTTGCATCCTGCTGTGCCTGGTGGTTTCTGTGTCATTGCCATGGGTGATGCAAAGCTCAAGGCGTAAATACAGAAGGATTTCAGGGTTCTCGCAAAACTCAATTGAAGCAAACATCAGTATTTGTGAGCTGTAGGGAAGGCTGCTGAGGGAGTCCTGCTGCAGTTCTTTCCCCGACCCCTCTGTGTAGAGAGCTGAGCTACGTGGTGTGCTGCAGTTTCTGGCCTGAGTTTTTCAGGTGAACCAGAGTTGTGCCCTCCACGGTCATGGCTTGTAGCCTGCCTCCTCCACAGACCCTGAAATCCCAGTGCGCCTCTGTTCAGCCCTGATCGCAGGGGCTCTCAGAGAAAACAGCTCAGTGTTGCAAGACCAACAAGCTCCAGGTTTGAACCCATTTTAGCCATCAAAACTTAACCACAAGGGAGGTTTTGGTTTGATTTGCAACTGGTCAGAATTTCAGATCTCTTTGCTGTGTGCACATTGCTAGCCTGTTCCCAGGTTGGCCGTGGTTTGCCATTAAAGAAGCAGACGTGACTGTGGTACCCTTTAATCCCACTCGGGCATCGAGGCCCTGACACGCTGGGCATCCATCCCAACATGGCCTGGCCTGTGAAAGATTTCCACGGATTGCCATCTGCTTCATCCCCCTGCCACTGTGTTAGCGCCACTGATAACATGGCCTTGAAAAGCCAGTGCCTTGATCAGCTCTTGGTTTGTACCACGTATGACAGGAGAAGCCAGCTTCAGATCTGTGCTGCAATCCCGATATATTTGAGCAGCTGGGCTTCTTTTTTTCCCCTAGCATTTGTGGCTTCTTCTTTCTTTCACTTATTTATTTAGTCAGATGTCTTGGAGGATCTCCCTTGGGTGTCTGTGTTATATTTGGATAGTCGTGCCCTTCAAAACACTTGGTGGAAGAAAGGCTGCAGCTGCGTATGGGATAGAGACTGAAGGAGTCCCTGTAAAGCGCCAGAGCAGCCCACTCCCGCTGCAGTCCTCCAGGCTGCCCACCTCCCACGGCCTGCCCTGTCTTGCGGGTTCGCCCACGAAAGCCTTGTGCTGGCTGGGGCGGAGTTCGGGTCCCCCTGCTCCGGCAACTGGTTGCTGGGACAGGGCTCTTGCAGCGCCACCCGAAACAGAGGGTGTCCCTGCATCAAGAAGGACGTAGTGGGGTGCGTGACAACCCAACATCAAGCTGGAGTCAGGGTCGGGCCCTCCCTGAAGTCACCTTGGCATGCTGACAGCGAGTTTGGCAGCCAGGGTGGGAGAAGAGAGCTGGGCCGGCAGCCCGGAGGGAATTGCCCGCAGGGCGAGAGTCAGGCTTGAGGTATCGAGCTCTCCTCGAGCTGCCTTCCTTGCGCCTGCGCTGCAGTTTGCCTCTTTCCTGCAAACGGTTTCCCTTGGGCAAAGGGCTTCAACTCGAAGGTCCCCCCGGCTCCGCTCCTCGGAGCAGCGCCCACCCTGGTGGGTGCCTCTCTGCAGAGGCTGGTGCTGAGCTCCAGCCCAGTGCGAGGGTCCTGCTCACGGAGCTCGCCGCCTGTCGGCACCGCACCCAGTGACAGTCCTGCCAGCTGGGAGCACCTTGCACCAAGAGCTTGTTGGCTTTGCAGTGCTCTCCCACCAGTTGGGGCAATGGGGTTTTTTGGAGGAGGCATTCCTCTTGCACCCAGAGATAGCTCGCTGCTCGCAGGGATGCACCGTCCCAGGCTGCCGGAGCCGCGGGAGAGTCTGCTGACAGCCTCCTTGGCGCTCAGGGCAGGAGGGAGCCTTCCTCCGTGCCACTGGGGAGCTCTTGAGCAACTCTGCAACGTGACACCTCTGTGCTTCCTCGTGGGGCTTGGATTTCCGTTTCCTTCCTTTGCGGTGATCTCCAACATCCCAGCCTGGCTCGGGGTCACGCGAGGAGGCAGAGGCAGCTGCAGGCCTCCTGCGCCCACAGCCACGCTCACGTGACCGGCCGGGCGCTGTGCAGCAGAGCCGTACAGGGCACAGAGCGGTGCAGGGCGAAGGAGGGACGGGCAGCATGGAGGCCAAAGCCACGTACGTCCTCCTCTCTTAAAACACTTGTCTTGCCCTTTAGGTTACAGCAAAACCACCACCCTCCCCTCTTACGGTGCCCTGCTGTTGTACTCGGCAGTGACATGTGCCACCGGATTCCAAGTCATTGATCACAATTCCTCGGGGAATGCAGCTTTTATTACCTGGCCAGTTGTTATTTCCTTTGCCAAGCCCCGTTTTCAATGCATATGGCGTTCCTGAGGCCTCAGTCTGATGTCCAACCACCTTCTCTGCCCATTCTGCCATCAGGATGGGCTGCCAGGGCTTGTGTGGTGGTGGCCATGGGACTGAGCAGGGTGGTGGATGGCTGTCAGGCACTGCTGGCCCCTCCTGCCCTCTCCCACCCTGTGACCAACCTCTGCAGGATTAGGTCCCCATTAGCCAAACTCCACTGGGCTAAATTTAAAGTTCCGGTCTTTCTGGGAAGCTGATCAGCAGAGGCATATTTTCTCAAAACCACAAGTCCCTTGAGAAGCCGGCCTCTCTGTTCCCCTCCGCTCCCAGCGCGCAGGACAAGGCAGCGCCGCTGCAGGGGGTGAGTTCGAACCCAACGCCGGCGCCACGCTAACCCTCTCCGTCCTTCTCCCACAGGTTCATGCAGCATCCGAAGAACTTTGGCCTGATCGCTTCCTTTCTGGACAGGAAGGTAAGCCTCGAGGCTCTCTCTGCGTGCCTATAACCCACCTGCCTGCTTTGTGCAATCTCTTCCTCATCTCATGATTTTTACTAGTGCTGGAGGATCCAGCAGCTCCCCAGCACCTGTGGGTGGTGTTAGCTGAGGGCCCCTGGGGGCATGGTCCAGGCACGTCCCGGCTTCCTGCAGAGACACGGGACTGAGTCAGCTCTGAAGAGGTTGGGAGCTGAGAGCCACAAGATGTGTGAATGCATCCAGCCTGGTGCGTAGGCATTTCAGCCCACCCCTTTCGCTGCCTGGGGAAGCTGCTTTCCAGCATCTTGTGCAGGCGTTTTCCATCCGCCAGCCCATCTCGTAAGGAAGGTGCTGAAATCAGGCTGTCCCTGCCGCAGAGCAGAGAGGGTGGCCTCCCCACCTAGGGCAGGGGAGCTTGAAGATGGGGTGAATCCCGGTTAGTCCAGCATTTCAGATTGCTGTTGCATGTACAGACACACATACGCACCCGTCTGAAAATCCTGAAGTCGGTCCTTCGTTTTTAGGAATAGTTTGATAGCAGGAGGGCCTGAACATACCCAGCCTGGGTGTTGCACTTTGTGGCCTTTTCCTATTTGCTGCTAATTGAACTGATGGGAGAAGGGTTTGAAAGAGACACCTGCAGGAACAGTGGGTCTTTGGTCCTGTTCTGAGCCAGGCCAGATAACTTTTATGGGACAGGCCACACGGGTGAACCCTGAACAGACCCAGCCTGGGAGGACAGAGAGATGGGTCTTGGGGAAGAAACGCTTGGGAGCTGCTTGTTCTCTCTGGTTCTGGGAAGTTAGTTATAGCCTTTGCCCATCCCTTGCAGTGTTTCACCAGTGTATCGCAGTGCACTTTCCAGGGGAGGTGGGCTGTGCTGTGCTCTTTCACACCACTGAGGCACAGAGAGGCGAAGGGATTTCCTCAAAGTCTGATAGGAGGGTTGGAGGAAGGATGGAGATCTTGGGCTTCCCAACCGTTCCCTTGGGTGGGTGGGCAGGCACGCAGCTAGCCCGAGTGTGGTGGTCACCTGGCTGAGCAGCTTTTGGCTCCAGAAGCTTCATCAACAGCTGGGACACAATATCTGTTCAGTTTGGGGGAACCCCTCTGCTTTGAGGGGGGTGGGCCTGGTGGCCTGCAGAGGTCCCTTCCAGCCCAAATTACGCTCTCATTCTACCTGACTCAACGGGGAGGATCATTTGTAAGAGCTACTTTCCTGCCTGAAGCAGCAGGCAAACAATAGGGCAGCAGCAATCTAGCGTAACGTGCTGTAAGACACTAGGCTGTGTTCAGCCTTTCCCCGCTTGTTAAAGCTGAAAGTGGTGGGACTTGGATGATGCTCACAATCCACCCTGTGTTCCAAGCTGTAAAATGTCTTCTAATTTTATTTGTACTCGTCTGTAAATCAGGCTGTAATTATGATACAGAACACATCCATTATCTTGTTGGAGAGGGATGCAAAGTATGGCTCAATGTAATGAATTAATAGATTTTTAAATCGCATTATAAAAAAACATAGTGATCTTAGCCCTTGGAACAGATGACTGTAAGTTTTTGTGTTTGTGTGTATGTGTGTATAATCGGGGCTAGATTGGAAAGCAATCCAATTAACACTTTAAAAGTTGCAATCTGGTTTGCGAACGGTCCTGCTCTTTGCATAGGAGTGGGAGAGAGCAGCCCCGTCCACCCGCTGACCCCTCCGAGAGGGACGCCGTGGGAGAGGTCAGCAGCACCCTGTCCCTGGGCACCTGCAGGCGTCATGGGTCTCTGGGTGTATTTCTCTTTATAGAGAAACTGTAAAACTGTTTCATCTGTGAAACGTTAGCCCAAGACCGGCGTTGGGTTGCTCACAAACCCACGCTGTGTGGGGGACTTTTGCCAGGGTCTTGGCGCCACTGGGGAGCGGAGCCACGTCCCAGCCACCCTGCTCTCGTTTTCCTAACGTGGCTGACCCAGGACGGCGCTCTGCTGAGCTGGCCGTGGGGGTTTGGGTAGCAGCTCCTGAATGCAGGGAGCTCGACGTGTCTGCCTGGAAGTTGTGTGCGTTTTAGCCAGTAAACCTAGCGGCTGGAAATAACGCTAGCTGACAGGCGCGCGGCAGGTTACGTGTAGTGTAACTACAACAAAGGGTGACAGGCGGCTCTCCCTACTCTGCTTTTAGTTGCCACAGTCATCTGGGGTCAGCCCTTCCCCCTGCCCTGAGATAGCCCCTCGCTTCGCTTTGCACGCGGGGTGCGGGTGGTTCTGCTCTTTGTTCTGCGCCCCGGCTCTGGCTCGATGCACCTGCGGGAAGGGTCCCACTCCATCCCTTGGAAGAGCAGTATCCCCATGCAGGGCTTTTTATTCGGACCGTGTGCTTTGTCCCCCTCTTTCAGTGCTCAAAGCCTGCACCAGCTTGGCAAAAAGAAACAATTTTTGCTGCAGGAGATGTGATGATCTCAGGGCTGGAATATTGCTGCTAACGGTGCGAGGGACCAAAATGCTCTGTTCCCTAAGTCACCTGTGTCATTGCAGACGGTGGCGGACTGTGTCTTGTATTACTACCTGACCAAGAAAAATGAGAATTACAAGAACCTCGTAAGAAGAAACTACCGGCGGCGTGGGAAGAGCCAGGTAAGAGATGGAGAAAGAGTGCGTGGAAATGTTGTCCCTCCTGCCGACCAAGGAGTAGCAGTGATTTACACTTGCAGCTTCTGAGCAGCAGTTTATAGCTGAGCATCCCAAATGCTGCTTCCCTTTCCCCCTTCCCCGCTGCAACAGGGCTTGTGAGTTTGCTCAGTATCACTGCTCAGGACATGCTGTGTCCTGACAGTTGATGTGTGTCCGTCGTCATCCTAAACCCTGAAGTAGCTTTAAAGTCAAAAAGCCACGATGCTTGAAAATGGGGATGCGGTGGATGCGGAAAGCCTGGCTGGCTGTCCGCAGGAGTGCTGGGTCGCCTGCATGGCCTGCCCGCTGGAGGTGACCAAGGCCTTCGAGACTGCAGTTCTGTGCGAGACCTGAGCACGGCCTGTTTCTCTCTCCCCCTTCCGGAGATGGCAGCCCCAGTGGGGACGGTGCTGCCCGTGGCTGGAGGGGGGGCTGCCGCTTGGCAGAGACTGCCGATGGCACAGGTATGGGAGGAGAGGGCGGGGGGGGGGAGGGGCTTCTGGGCGCTGCTGAACAGAGGTGTGCAGCGCTAGTGAAATGTCTGAGCGTATCCATGATGCTCCTGGGGGCTGGCAGATTCAGTGCTGAAGCCCGTGCCCTTTTGGAGTACCAGCAGCCCCGGGGGGGCCGGGGCTGCCCGTGGGGGGGGGGGGGGCTGCCGCTTGGCAGAGACTGCCGATGGCACAGGTATGGGAGGAGAGTGCGGTGGGTGGGAGAGACTTCTGGGCGCTGCTGAACAGAGGTGTGCAGCGCTAGTGAAATGTCTGAGCGTATCCATGATGCTCCTGGGGGCTGGCAGATTCAGTGCTGAAGCCCGTGCCCTTTTGGAGTACCAGCAGGAGGCTGGAGAGGTACTTAGGAGACCTCGGATAACACGAGGTGCCCGGGGGTAGGTGACTGAATCACCCCTTGCTGTTGGGTGACCTAGATAGGAAGCTGTTACCATGCCAGTGTTGTTGCTGAGATTACTCAAGGTACCCAGAGAGGTCCTAGCCTCTTGGCGAAGGAGCCTTCTCCCAGCTGATGCTTTAAATGAGAGGGAGATCCCACTGCTGAATCCCCAGTTTGGTGAAGTGAAGGATTATTCACTTAAGGAGGAGAGTGAGATGACTGCAAAGGGAGTATCTCCCCAGATAACGTGGGGATAGGAATGGAAAAACTGGCCTGTCCCGTAACACCACTGACATAAGCAGTTCCTCATGCTCCATGGCCATAAAAAGCAGCACTTGGGTCTAGAGCCTGATTGGAAGGGAGATAGGTAGCCTTGCTCCAATTTGATTTCTGCAGCGTTAAGACATGAGAATAGTTAGCACATGACGAATGTCATGGACGGGGCCCAATTTTCCCTTCTTTTTTTTCAGAGACATGAGAGATGGATAAAACGCTATTAGATTATCCAGTCCCTCTCCCAGCAAACACAGGGTGGTTCCCTCCAGTACATTTTTATAGTGTTTACCATGGTCTGTTTTGTTAGATCACAGCAACTAGAACATGAGGCCACATTTGTTTCTTGTTAGCAGTGGAGACATTTAGCACAGCTAATTCTGGTTTCAATGTTAAGTTGAGCAAGTAACAAGTGTGGATGGAGGGAGAGGGGCAATCTACTGTTCTGCTCTGCACCTTGCTGTTCCCTTAACATACCTCCGTGGCCACAGACCTGCCCGTTCTGTGCTCAGTAGATACTAGTTGTGTTCTGGTTCTTAAAAGTATCCCTAGGCACAGAATTTTCCAGGGTACTTTCCCTCGCTAATGAATCTGGTCCTGCCTGGGCAGTAGAGATCATGTGTTTAGTGTCAGCCTTTGGAAGCAGGGATTTGCTATCCTCCAGCATCGACCATAATAAAACACAGGAGTGCTTTTCCAAGTAGGGGACAGCAATATTTGTCAATTGTGAGAGACAGACTGGTGGGCTCTGAGGTGTATAGGTTCCACCTTGATGGAGCTCGACCAGGACGCTGTTGAAAGAAGAGTGGGATCCCCAGTTCTGGAGGGAGATGGGACAACGAGCGCTTCCTGTCGCTGCCAGATGCTCTGGTGTGAGATAGGCGTCCTGCAAACCCCGTGGAGACACGTGCCGCCAGATCTGCGTTTGGTGTCGCCCTGCTGAGGTCACACTGAAGGTGGTGTGAAGCCTGGTTAACCGAAATATGTGCTGCTACGCACCAGTGCACATTATGTAGTGGCTGGGCTGCGGTCCCTGCCCAGGGGAGAGGTAACTGGGCTGCTGCATTCAGCCTACGGGGTTATGCTGGCATTCGCTCTTCCTAGCCCTGAGATGCGATGAGGATACGTTCAGATAGATGTGCTATTCAGATGAGAGTTAAGAGGCAGAGGTCTTCTGTACGAACGAATAGCGGAAGAGGGGTGCAGAACAAGAGTTGCTGGGTAAAATGCAGGCCTGGAGCAGCTCTCCCCCAACGACCGTGGGAGGTCTGGAGGCACGTGCTCCTCTCTGTGCTACGAAGCAGCTAGTGTTTCCATATGTAACTTGCATCCCTTTCCGGTGGTGCTGCATAAAGAGGCGTTTCAGAAGGCCGGGCTGGAAGGAGTCTGCTGCCTCGGTGTGCTGGCTCGGTAAGGGCATGCTTCGGAGGGGAGATGGGAGGTCTGGCAGAAGGCAGTGGGCATGGTGACCCATCTCCCTTGTGGCCCACTTGGCTCTGCCGGCGGGTGGCTGCTTTTTGTTCTCCCTCGGTGTCAGCTCTCGAGGCGGGAGGAGGCGGAGGCGCTGCTCGGGCCGCAGCTGGGCGCTCAGCCGCAGGACCGATCTTCGGGGAGCCCGGTCTCCTCGGCCGACGGGACGGGGCGGGGTGAGCAGGTGCCTGCGCCTTCCGGCATGGGAGAGGTTCGGTACGACCAGTTTGGAGGGCTGGGGTGGTGGGGGGCGTTCCTGGGTCACTGGATGGGACTTTTGCTTAGTGAGCGTCTTCGTAAACTGGTTGAATTCTGCCCGCGTCTGGGGAAGGTGTGCTCCGTTTTGGAGGTCTGGCCGGCTATGTTCACCCCTTAAATTGGTGGTTTTGGCAGAAATAAGCCAGTCTCCAAGGCTCAGCCTGCACCTTGGCCACATCTGCTCCCTGTTTGTCCCTGCTGGGTGCCTCTTTGTTGTCCCAGTTCAGCCATGTGTGGGGCCGTCTGCTGAACTGGACTGTGAGGAACTAATCCGGGCTAAAAATAGCTTCTTTTTTTCCTGGATTATTTTTAACCCCGTGCAGTTCCCTGAGCCTGGTGCCCATGTGGCCTTGCTGCGCGGCTGAGGACCGGGCCCTTCGGGGGGACGTCGCCCTTTGTTGCCTGCGCCGAGGTGGCCCTTCCTGCTGGGAAGGGTTAAAGTAGTCCAACTCCCCAAGTGGGATTTAACAGGTCTGGAGAAGGGGCGGGGGGCTGCTTTGCTCCTTATCGGTCGAGCGGAGCAGATGAGTTGCGATACAGATTGCATTTCAAGTGGCCCTACGCTGTTTTCTCGCCTGTTTTTCTCATGGAGAGGTTGGTGGTCTTGTTTGCTTTTGGAGGCTGCGGGGAGCTTGAGAGAGAAGTGGCGATAATTGTAAGTAGAAATAAAGCTACTCTGGTGTCAAGATTATCATTGTGGCCTACTTATTAAAAGTACATTAAAAAAATAAGAATCCCATTGCTCCTTGGCTGATGGTCCCCTGGCAAAGGATATTCCTCATAAAGCTGCTACTTACTGCTAAAAAAGCCTCCTGCCAAGAGCGGGGACTTCACATGATTGTGCTTCCAGTTTGTCAGAAAAACAAGCAGCCGCCCGTTCCAAGGCACGGCGCATGCGCCCCGGCGCGCGCGCGCCGCCTTCTCCGGGCGCCCGCCAGCGAACGGCGCCCGCCTCGCTGTGTTCCGGCCCCCGGGGC